CTTTGCACTATTCCATCATTTTAAAATCGATGATACAATGTCCCACTTTGTGTCCTTGTTCTACTTAGTTAAGTATTTTAGGAATAGTATGCATGTGTGAATTGATTGAAGGCTCTATTTTTTAAATTCGCAAATGTGTGCTTAAAGAGTATTTCACTAGTCTCTACTTGTCTTATCGATGTACTGCAGAATTTATCGCATATACGTCTCGTAGTTCTTTATCAGTTTTTTTTGTATTATATTCTGTCTGTAAAATTAAATGACACTTATGAGATCATACCGGCTCTTTGTCTTTCCATTTTGCGCACTTTCTCTAAAAGTAATTAATTGTTTTGATGTTGAGTCAACTTTGGAGGGTTAGCCTGTCTATGATTATGTATGTTCTTGATAGACCACAGTCAGGTGTATGAATGTGGTCTATCAAGAACATACATAAGGCGAAAACCTCTAATTTTTCTTCTTATCTAAGTTTAGTCATCTGATTCATTACCTACTTTCGTTTTTAGTTTCTTTTCAAAGTTTAAAAGAACATCTGTTTCGTGTACATCTCGTTCGTTATTATTAGAAAATCTTGCTTCTTTGCAATATAGATTTTGTTCCAATCGTGTGGATTTGTGTAGCAGAAGATTCAAGGAATCTCTTTGCGACTGTAAATACGTTGCAAGTTTGCTCATCAAATTCAAACGTTGGCTGTACTTGTTAATTGATGTGAACAAAATGACTCACGTCAATGGTCACGCAAGTTGTCTTATGAAGTTTAGGAGTATTTCAATTCTGAAATGTTGATTAGGTTTAGTTTAAGTCTATTTTAATACCACGACTGTTTATTCCGTAACATCCTGTTTTTATTAACAAACTGTGTTTTACGGTTACTAACTCTAGTAAAAAGAAATTTAATTAAAACACTTGTAAGTCAAAACCGATTTAAAACACAAATAGGTAGTTGTAAAACTAAAGAATAAATAATTAAACTTAGGTCTATTGCATCCTATAAATTAACTTTACACTTTACATAAAGGGTTGATATTGTTTGAGCTTACCTATTTACTTTTTTATCAACTTCGTAGACTGTGTGTAATTTCTAAACTCAATTGTAAGTTATAAATAACTTGAAAAAATTAAATTGCCTAGGGCTGGAATCGAACCCACGACTGCTCTTCCGTCTGAGCTACTGCTTAGATACTGGATTCTAAACTCGTCATAGAAATAACGATTTACAAATTATTTTCGTTTATTTCGGACTTTGTTTAATGAACACACTCATTTACCTACCTAATACACATGAGTTAGTACCTACCTACTCAAAAATGGGAATCAATACAGAAAACTTGAAAATTAATGCTTGCACCAAAACCAAGGACCCCCAAGAATTCAAAAATTACAAAGCTCATAGATAAGAAGCAATTCCCTCCGCTAGGTAAATGAATTGACTCGCCCACTACCATTAAGTTCACCACCGAGTCGCACGGTGGTCCCGATTTAATAAAACATGGACATTGATGCTAGAAGCACGAAATTTTTTTTGATGGTTACTGCTATGATAACTAATAAGGCAAAAAAATATTACAATCCTACGACGTCTATTTCGTAGTAAAAAAAAATATGTAGATATTTTTTGTATGGAAGAAATTACGTTTCTGTAAATTTTTCGAAATTCTTAAACGATGTCAAAATGCCGATCACACATGTTATAAAACAAGTGATTCTGAGTATTTCATGCGAAGATACTTGTCATTTATCTCTGCGTACTTTTGAGTTATCGAGGGTTGAAAAATCGATTTTTTTATATTAAATATTTCCACGAAAAATTGCCAAAATTACAATATGGTGTATAAGGGACACCTTTGATGACACATAACAACGACTCACACTCGCGCGCGCTCGTATGCATCAGCTTTTAATAAAATAAAATAAAAAATTAAGGGAAATACTTAATACAACATTGTATGTATAGGTCCGCTGGCCGTCAAAAAGTAGCTTATACGAGAGGTTGCCCAATTTACAATATGTCCATCATTGATAACTCACACAAATATCGTCTCTCTCTGAAGGATAACAAGTTTTTTTTGTTTCCAGAAGCTCTTGATAGGATGGAAGCCCATAAATACTCTCTGAAGCGAGAATGAATCTCAAATTGCGATATTGCCATTTTGACAAATTACATGATGTAACTAGCGCTAACGTTTATCTTCAGGTAGACACAGTTTTAAGTTAAAAGATTGTCTACTATTTCACACTGTTCTTCGTTTTGGAACAGTTCTTTGATTATAGGTAGTCGCTAATTTCGTTTTGTTAGACTCTTTCAGTTTAGCACATAAAGCGTAAACTAATTCCTCCTCAGAATGATCTAAAAGTGTTAGAGAGCGCCTCTTCTTCTGCAGAAGAAGAATTTTGCATAAATCTTCAAAAGGTTTTTTATTTATACCAGAAGTCGATGGTTGCACATCTACTTCCGCAGTCTCATCAACTGGAGCGTCTTCCTCGGTGTTAACGTTGTCTATGCGTTGTGTTAACTCGGTAAAAGAACATTGTTTAAATCTATATTTTTACATTTCGGCCAGACCATTTCAGACTAAAATGACGAACGTATTGGCATTGAATTGTCTTCCGAAGATTTGAGTAATTATCAAATCATTAAGTCGTAATTTTACAAGAAATATATCAAAGAAGATATGGTCTGCTTCCAGTAGAGCCCAAAAGACATTTTTGCACCAGAATTCGCATTGGCTAGACTCTGAAATTGTCTGGCCGAATTGTAAAAATATAGATTTAAACAATGTTTTTTACCGAGTTAACACAACGCATAGACAACGTTAATACTGAGGAAGACGCTCCAGTTGATGAGACTGCGGAAGTAGATGTGCAACCATCGACTTTTAGTATAAATAAAAAACCTTTTGAAGATTTATGCAAAATTCTTCTTCTGCAGAAGAAGAGGCGCTCTCTAACACTTTTAGATCATTCTGAGGAGGAATTAGTTTACGCTTTATGTGCTAAACTGAAAGAGTCTAACAAAACGAAATTAGCGACTACCTATAATCAAAGAACTGTTCCAAAACGAAGAACAGTGTGAAATAGTAGACAATCTTTTAACTTAAAACTGTGTCTACCTGAAGATAAACGTTAGCGCTAGTTACATCATGTAATTTGTCAAAATGGCAATATCGCAATTTGAGATTCATTCTCGCTTCAGAGAGTATTTATGGGCTTCCATCCTATCAAGAGCTTCTGGAAACAAAAAAAACTTGTTATCCTTCAGAGAAAGACGATATTTGTGTGAGTTATCAATGATGGACATATTGTAAATTGGGCAACCTCTCGTATAAGCTACTTTTTGACGACCAGCGGACCTATACATACAACTTTGTATTTAGTATTTCCCTTAATTTTTTTTTATTTTAGTAAAAGTTGATGCATACGAGCGCGCGCGAGTTCGAGTCGTTGTTATGTGTCATCAAAAGTGTCCCTTATACACCATATTGTAATTCTGGCAATTTTTCGTGGAAATATTTAATATAAAAAAATCGATTTTTCAACCCTCGATAACTCAAAAGTACGCAGAGATAAGTGACAAGTATCTTCGCATGAAATACTCAGAATCACTTGTTTTATAACATGTGTGATCGGCATCTTGACATCGTTAAAGAATTTCGAAAAATTGTCAGAAACGTAATTTCTTCCATACAAAAAATATGTATATATTTTTTTTTACTACGAAATAGACGTCGTAGGATTGTAATATTTTTTTGCCTTATTAGTTATCATAGCAGTAACCATCAAAAAAAATTTCGTGCCTCTAGCATCAATGTCCATGTTTTATTAAATCGGGACCACTGTGAGTCGCGCCGGTCGCGTAAATTACAAACCACGCCAAGCATGACGTCATATCCTGGCGAATCGCATGTCAGTCAGACCCTGCTCACTTCCAAGTTTAATGACGTTATATTGTGCTATATTTGAATCATAGTTCACACTTAGTATGATTTACACCACTGTACTTAATTAGATGATGTAAAAATATAGGGTGACCATGTGAATCATATTCCTCTAGGAATTATCATTGCAAGATGAAAGGTTTTAAATGAGTAGTGGTGACAAATCACACATGGAAACACTCGATCTAGAATAGATCAACACAACTATACATACTATAAACAAATTACAAACCTACCATAGAATCGCGTGTATGTGGTGTTGTGTTGTGAGTGTTGTGACACAGTAACAACAGCTGTTGGTAATTTATATCCTCTACCTCAGTTGCAAGGTCAATACTTAAATAATACCTATCTTTGTTGTACCTTATTGCAATAAAAAACTTGTCTACACTCTGCGTGCTCTTTCATAATTATTATCATCGGAAGACGAGATGTTCGCGATAAAAACTGTAATTTACTCATACAATGTATTACATTTATGTATATTTAAATTCATTTTAAGCAGAAAGTTACGAGAAAGCGACTCGTTTCGTTCTGTTAACATTTTACAAAATCATTGTGAACTTAAAGTGACTAAACAAACGTCACAAAAATTTTTTAGTCACACACGTATGTTTGTTTTCTCACTTAATACTCAATACTTTACATTGTTTTTAAATATTTTATTACAGACTATACTGTTTTTAACCCACGACGAAAAAAAAGACGCCGCGACGAGGTGTTATTCATATTTTTCTTGGGTTTTTATTTAGGTTGGGATTTGATTTTAAAAGATTATTACATATCACATTCTCATATTAATCAAAATCAGGATCAATGCAACATACTCGAGCCACTTCGCCATATTTGAGAATGACGTAAGCTTCACTCAAATGTGAGGTGATAAAACGGCTATTCGCATACTAAATAAGATTGTCATCAAATCAGTATGCGTGACACTTTATACAAGCACTGTTAAAAGTGTAATGTCCTGTAACATTGAAAAACTCACATAGTTGCGAAATTTTAGTGCTAACATGATTTCTATCTCCACAACGCTTAACTGTGATAATTTTCTTGTTTCAGATGGCGTGGAAGCATATACAAATTAGTATGGCTGGATCTTCTAATTTTCCTACTCTTATATTATACTTTAAGCTTAACATACCGTCTTTTGTTAGACCCAGAGTCTAAAAGGTTTGTACCTTTTAAATTTCGTATAATTTTAAGGAGCTGTACGACTTCATTGTTGATCCTTGCTCACATTATTCTAATTCTTGCTATACAGTGTGAGTCACGTTAAAGTGTACATATGAAAATAGATGAAACTAGACCTATTTTTATCGACAAAAAAGAGGTCAAAAAATTTTTGAGATTTTTTTTTAATCAAATTACTTATTGTAAAGAAAACGTAATAACTTTTAAACTAAGAGGTATATCCTGATAAAATAAAAACAGTAGTAATGCTAAATAACAGGCAATACTAAAAAATACATAAAATACACAAAAAATGCCAACAAATAATAAAAAAATATACTTTTTGAAAAAAATCTGCTTATAAATTCGTATTTTTTTGGTTATTTGATAAATTTCTCCAAAAAATGCCCCTATAACAGGTGGTTTTTATTACTTTTTATTATTCTCTATCGTATTATCTTTGTAAAACCAAAAATTGCATGTCTCTATCTCTATCACAACATTTGCTATGATCGTTTGAACAAAGGCCTGCCACAACATTATTCTCCGCTACAGGTAGAGACAATTTTAATTTTAACTAAAATGCTTATTTTACTTCGATTTTTTTTGTTTTTATTTGAAATCTAACTTGTCTTTATCAAAATTACAAATCTAGAGCCATTTTCAGTTTCGTTGTTAACGAAGCGTTGAATGGCGCGCACGGAGAGGCTTAGTTCAAATGATTATTGCAAACGTTGTGATAGGGATAGAGACATGCGATTTTTGGTTTTACGAAAGTAATACGATAGAGAATAATACAAAGTAATAAAAATCACCGGTTATAGGGGCATTTTTTGGAGTAATTTATCAAATAACAAAAAAAAACACGAATTTAAAAGCAGATTTTTTTTCAAAAAGTACCATTTTTTATTATTAATTGTTGGCCTTTTTTGTGTATTTTATGTATTTTTTTAGTATCGCCTGTTATTTAGCATTATTACTGTTTTTATTTTATCAGGATGTACCGCTTAGTTTAAAAGTTATTACGTTTTCTTTACAATAAGTAATTTGAAGAAAAAAAAATCGATAAAAAATAAAAAAAAAAATCTCAAAAATTTTTTGACCTCTTTTTTGTCGATAAAAATAGGTCTAGTTTCATCTATTTTCATATGTACACTTTAACGTGACTCACACTGTATATTTTAGTAGCTTTGTAGACATAGAAAATCTTAGACAATTTGTTTTTAATTCGATCAATTAATGCATAATTATGTGACAATGGTTACGTTATTTTTCAGAATATTCGAAGGTGTGGTAAACTACTGCAGTTTCCACGGCAATGTAATTCCGCTGTCGTTTGTGTTGGGTTTCTATGTCACGGTAGTCATGAATCGATGGTGGGGGCAGTATACCACCATACCATGGCCGGACTCCATTGCCGTGTTTGTGTCTGCAAGTATTCACGGGCAGGTAAAATTAGGAATTGCACTTTATTTTATATTCATTCATGTATAGCGGGCTAGCGTGCCTAGGTCTATGATAAATTCGTATTTATTCGTGGGTTGATTATATAATATTTAAATTCTTTTAAGAAAAAAGAAAGAACCGGTTTTACTATGCGCGGATCGCGCTCTAAACATTCTATGAATTTCGTTCATCGTGTCGTGACTGAATTTTCACGTACCTATTAGCATAAGAAATGATGTACTATTTCCTACAGAAAATGCGAAATGTCTAAGGTTTTCTAAACATAGATAAGATAGACGGCTCGTCCTCATGTTGTTCAGATAATTCAAACGGGTATATGTTACACAAATGCGTAATCATGCTCGTTAAACTGTATTACTTGTTTGGATTATAATATACATTACAGTATCTTTCATCATTTTCTTTCCTCTTACTGTTTGAGGTCGAGTGTCGATGATTAATTACATGAGTAGGTACTTAAGCTTATCTAAAAAAAATAAAGAGTGACCGATCAGACGTATCCGAGGATAGGTTAAAAATACATGAATTTATTAACCAGCATAATATTAGGCAGCACACTATTTAGTTCAAGTGTATCAAAAATAATACTATGATTAACGTTTATAATTTTATTTATCTAATCACATTATCACCCATATAATTATTGGAATCGTGTGACGATGATAAGAACACAATGTCGCTGTTTTTGACTTTCTTGCGTTGTAGTCAAGATAATCTGTTATCAGCTAGTCCTTCCGCATGATGATAGTGAAGTGAATACTGATGAATGACCAAGCTTAGTTTACTTTTAGAGTTCCTTAATAAATACTCTGAAGATTATAGTAATTACGGTAATTTGTATTCGTCTAATGAAATTGCTATTTTTTAATTTGGGTAGAAGGACAAAATAGAAAACTGCTTACCTTCACAAAGAGAAATACAAAGATTTTACCTGGTATTAGAGTAAATCTAACTTTAATAGAATTGTAATTACCACTTAAGCCCGAGGTGAACGTGCAGTTTACCTTTTTGCAATTTTATTATTTCAAGGGCAATCTAGGTAGTAATATGTATTAAATGACAACTGAAATAACTAATTCATGTATTTTACGACAGTAGATAAGTTCATAATTTTTATTTTCCTGTCACCTACCATTTCTTGAAAGTCCTTAATTATTGTCTTAGAATTTCCATCGTATGGTAACCCTAATCATTACTAAACATATTAATGTGACATAGGCGTATTTCACTCTGAAAAATGCATAAGTAATTTTGACCGTTTCGAGAAAAATAATCCGCACATTAATGAAGCAAAAAGTTTCATTTGATTGCTCCATTTGTGTAAAAATAAAGGCATTAAGTGCCATAGGCAAATGTTAACCACGGAAACAATTTACCCCAGGGCAGGGGTCACTACCCTACACATTGTAATAAAGATCTAACGATAAATTTAATTGAGCTCTTAGCCAGAGGGGGTTCTGGCTCTCGCACAAAAATCGAAAGACAACAACCTTTGACTAGGTATAGGTAGTTAGGTAGCGTATCTTTTAGTGTTGAAAACAATTTCACAACTTAATAATGACCAACCCACTTTACTTGCAGGACGAACGCGGTCGACTAATGAGACGCACGATCGTGCGTTACGTGTGCCTTTGCCTAACCATGGTGCTAACTATGATCTCGCCTCGAGTCAAAAAGAGATTTCCTACACTAAACAATTTAGTGGACGCGGGTCTTTTACTTGACAACGAAAAGACCATCCTTGAAAATCTCAACGATAAGTTTCCGAAACCATCAAAACACTGGTAAATAAAAAACGTATTATTCCAAGACTTGTGATAATATCGACTGTATAATTGATTAGATTCTTAGAATGTCATTGATATTTATAGAATGTACATAATTTTATGGATTGGCTGCTTCATTGCAACTTTCTGAAAGACATATTTTCAGATTTGGTAATGATTTCAGGTTGCCAATAGTATGGGCGACTAGTATAGTGACGAGGGCCCGCAAAGAGGGTCGAATAAGAGATGACTTTGCAGTCAAAACTATTATAGACGAACTGAACAAGTTCAGAGGGCAGGCAGGCCTCTTGCTCAGCTACGACACGATTAGCGTGCCACTTGTATATACTCAGGTGTGTATATTATCCACAATTTTCCTCTCCCAAATGTTTAGAACAACTAGATTTTCTTGTATGCAATATTTATTTTATTTCAGGTAGTTACCATAGCAGTTTACTCATATTTTATAACTTCTGCTTTGGGCAGTCAGTGGGTGGACAATAAATTGGAATCTCATTCCAGTACCAATATCAGTAATATAGATCTATATTTTCCAATATTTAACACCTTAGAATTCTTCTTCTACATGGGCTGGTTGAAAGTGGCGGAGTCCTTGATAAACCCGTTCGGAGAAGACGACGATGACTTTGAAGTCAACTGGTTGATTGACAGAGATTTACAGGTAAACCGGAGTTGACTTTATTTGCTCTGACTCATCATGGACATAATTTTGTAAATATGTATAATGATTCATTATTAAAATATTTGTTCTTTCATACAGAAAACCGTAATGAAATGACTAATGAAATGATTTGAACGTTTTAACTACAATCGAGTAAATTCTTTGAAATTTTTGGATTACCTACAAATTGGAGGTAAACTCTATCAACGTTGGTTAGTAAAACTAAGCACGAGTTGGATCTGATTAGTTATGATTGTAGTTTGTCATAAATGTATGTAATTAATTAGTGGTAATTTTTGTTTACATGTGGTTTTTAAATGTAAATAGAGTTCTAATCGACAGAAGTGGTACTGTGCCATTTTCCTTGTCACGTTTGCGTGAGTCGTGCAACTTGCCGGTAGGTGTCGTACATGATCGTGGACGAGATGCACCACGAGCACCCCGAGCTGATCCGGGACCAGTACTGGGACGAGGTGTTCCCGTCGGAACTGCCCTACACGATCGCGACGGAGAACCAACGCGAGGAACACCCGGAACCGTCGACGTCCCGCGTGTCGGTCCCGGTCCGACAACGCAGCATGGTCACCGTGGCGCCCTCCGCGCTCAAGATCGACGAAATGGTACCCTCCAACACCGTGAGTTACAAGTTCGCCCCGCCAGAGGTTAGACTCGTCCTATTCTAAGCATGCTGCACGCTCGGACTGTATGGAGCTTAGCAGTGTGGCGGTGTCGAGGGTTGCCAATGCCGATGCTGTGTTTCTCTTTACTATTCACAGTGAATTCGTCAAATATCCACCTATTTGTTTTAATTTCAGTATTTCTTTTTGTTTCTCAGTCGTTGTCCAATTATCTTAATTACTAGGAAGGCGTTTAAGCACTCGATAATTATACCTTATTTCATCTGTACCCAATTATGTACCTGTTAAGGAATGTTGGCAATGTTCATAATACGATGGACGTAATGAAGTTCAAGTACCAACGAGTGTTTAAAATGATTATCTTGTATCTTATCAAATATTTATTTTTATCTTATCTTTTGGTGACATGGATTTTACGAATTTTCAATGCAGGTAATGCGTTACATCATACCTGCTTAATTTTAGTTAGATCTTATCAAATCTCATTAAATACTTAATATTTTACACCTAATGTAGTGTAAGTTTATCTTATCTTTAATAATAATTAACTTCCTATTACGATTTCATGAACTTCCATCAATTTCATAATTAATTTCCTTACATGTCAGAAAAAATATTTCCACATTAGTTTAAAAACTGTTGGCAGCCCTTTATATGCAACATGATTAATACGATATAATATGTGTATGATATTAACTAATTAAAGCCGAACGTAGACAGACAGTAAAACCTGTGGCATGGAATATATTTTTTATTTTATTTTGAATTATTTATGTTTTTTATTTTGTTACTTACTTTCTGTTCGGTTTTAGATCACCAATACACTAATTTTGATATTTTAATACCTACTTATAATAATTAATTTAAACTAATGAATTAATAGATAATTAATAATTTGTAGGTATCCTTGTACTTTTATAATTATGACTAATCCATAATTAATATTTATGTTACTTCTGTATTGTGCTTTGTGTTACTTTTCTTTTAATATTTTACTAATGTCTTTTCTCTTTAACAGTGTGATTGCCAAACATAATGTACTAACGCCTGTCGATGTTATATGTCGGTATTTGGTGTTTCATTGTTTTTGTTTATACAGTATCGACTTGTAAATACTAAGTCCATTTTCATTACGTTTATTTTCCTCGTAACAATTAAAATTGTAAATATTTTCAATCCAGTCTCTATAAATGTTGGGAAAGTAATATTTTATCACTTTATTAATATTCTAAATGTGATTTGCACAGCAACTTCAAATGAACGACGACGCGCAATCGGGTATACACTTTATAGTGTCTCGAGGCAGCAAGCGAGGCAAGAAGGAAGACAGAAACTCCATGGGCATGGGGTCTTCCAACTCCATGGTGTCGCTGCAGCAAACACCCATGACGCGCAACAATTCCGTCACGTCCATGCTCAAGAGACTGTTCTCCAAGGAAGACCAGAGAACAGGCACTACTCCCCCGGTGGCCTCACAAACAGATGGTGGTACGTATATCTATTACATTTCGTGAAATGGCGCTTATGGCCAGAACATAAGACTGAAGAATGGTTTAGTTTGATGTGCCGTCATTTGTTAGTAGGTAGCAGTGGCGGATTAACGTATAAGCACTACAAGCACGTGCTTGGGGCCCCTGTTCTCCAGGGGCCTCCATCCTCTGCTGGCGCGCCAGCAGAGGATGGAGGCGTTTCATTTCATACCTACATTTTATAGAGATTTAGCCTATGTTACTCGTAAGTAATGTAGCTTTCAAATGGTGAAAGAATTTTTAAAAACGGTCCAGTAGTTTTTGAGCCTATTCATTACAACCAAACAAACAAAGTTTTCCTCTTTATAATATTATAGTGTAGATAAAGTAAAGCGCGTTTTCCCAAATATACAAGTGGCGTTTAAAGAAAAAAGAAAGAAAGAAAAATTTATTACGATGAAGATGAACATCACATACATGACAGAGAAAAATACAGAAATGGCACATAAATATTACAAGGAAATAAAAAGTGAACTGAGCAGTGAGCAGTGCTATCCTGTCGCAACAGCGATGCCCATCGCAATGGGATTCCACTCAGCATATGCCGTGGCCCACGGTGGGGAAGGCCACGACGCTGGTTTTCAGTGGGCCCCATGCCGAGTGGAAGTCACNAGGTGGAGAAGCCATTTTAAAAGGTATGAGCGGAACGGAGAGGGCCATCTTACCAAGCAGGGATGTTATGGATATCCGTAACCGTAACCGGTACTATCGGATATCCGAAATAAAAAAATACCCATAACCGTAACCGAAACTGATTCAAAAGTTACGGATAGTTTCAGATAAAGGCGGAGTCTTAAGGGTACAATAAATTCCAAACAGAAGCATTATTCAGGGTTACATAAAAAAAAAAATAGAAAAAGTGAACCCGCAAAGAACAAAAATCCGTCCAGACAAGCTTAATTATTTAGCATTAATGTGTATTGAGGCAGACATACTTCGTCGGATAAATTTCGACGATGTAATCTCGGAGTTTGCTCTGATTAAGGCAAGGAAAATAATGTTTTAAGTTTTACATTTCACCTACTACACTTTCTATTTTGATGAACTTTCATTTTATACCTACTTTATACCTTCCATTCCATTCCTTCCATTTCCATTTAAGCAATAGAGGGCCTACACAGGCTCTGTGCTTAAGGCCTCGGATACTCTTAATCCGCCACTGGTAGGTAGGTACGTGATTAATTAACAAGGAAATTGTAAAAAAAGTTACCTTGGTTTTGTTCCTCTCACTATGCAAAAAATCTAAACCTATGCCGGTTGCAATACAGCGGCTATGCGCAATGCGCATGGCCCATAACGAATCACGAAATCATCATCCATAACAAATGTCCTTAGCCTATGCCCAATTATTAACGGATGAACTGATATCTTGTGCGTAGTCCATACATATTATAGGTACCTACTTCTAATAGTAATAAAAATGATAATAGAAACAGAACTAGTTGACCTTGGGTATCTAGTTAATATTGTAAAAAATAATTCCCCAATCAGGAGGTAAGTAGGTAGCTGTTAAAAATAGAACTAGTTGGCCTCCGGTAATGTAAGGAAAAAATTTGCGAATTTTCAATCAACTAAGTTATTTGAATGAGTAGGGTGACCAGGTTTTTTAATCGATTTCAGGACGAGTTAGCGCGAAGCCAGGCAGTTACTTTTACAATTTTTTAAAAGGAAGGAATCAAATATCAACATTTTAAGTAACTTGTCAGTAAATTAAGCCAAATAATGCTGTAACAGATGTATTATCAACGACTGATATAAAATCGAAATTTTAAATAATAACAGTCAATAACTGGGTATTGGGTTATCATTTTATGCAGATTTCTTAAGAGTAACGTTAGCCGGTTACGCGGTATTATCTCATATAACTGGCGACGGCGATTAACCAAATGGGAATGAGTCACGCTCCATCACCATAATAGCCGCCTACTATTGTTCTCAAATGTACGTGTAATTATAACAGGAAACTAAATAATTATAACTGTCATAATAAAGCCTTCGATTGTTGTAGTTTAACTAGAATCTTAAACGAACATTTTATAGTTCTAGGTTAATGCTTAATTTATATTATATATAAATAATTTACTTTTAATGCTATTAAACGTTCTTCTAGTAACAGTTTAATTTATACAGTTTCTGAAACGCCTGAACGAATTAACTTGACATGACGATTTATTCACGTCCGGCTGCTGCATAGAGCTCCTGTACGCGGGTATTTTTCATTACGCTTGTTAGTTCACAGAAGATCGCTCACAGATAATAAAACGCGAGTGCAAATTGCAAAGTATGTCAGCTATTTCATTGTGCTAATTGTTGCTGATATGATTGCAGGAACTCGTTTCACGATATCTGCAAGTAATGCTTCGCTGAACAAGCCCACCACGGCTGGCGGCGGCAGCATGAAGATAGCCAACGAGGTGATTGAAGAAGTGGACGAGCAAGCCACCATCACAAGCATGGGGAAACGACCTGAGAACAGGTACCTAATTCAAATCATCATCATTTCAGCCATAGGACGTCCACTGCTGAACATAGGCCTCCCCCAATGATTTCCGATTGGTAGCGGCCTGTGTCCAGCGCCTTCCTGCTACCTTAAAGGTCTGCCATCATAAAGTTTATATGTCGTCGGCCTAATTGGAATGAATATAATTAATACGATAGTAAATTATCGATGTGGTAGGTAGACCTATTTCTACATGGAAATTCATATTTGTTTTTTTTTAATGGAGTTACGAAATTACTTAGATTAATACACTGTTTTCAACTCGGTGTGAAATCGCCTGCATTAAACGCGAGTAAATGAAAAAAGATGGAATATCAATCCTACTTGTCAGAAAAAATAAACAGCGACGATTTTAATTATTGCATCAGTATTCGCAGCGCTGCTCTGCCAATCAATTGGCGGCTGTGATGTTAATTGCACTGCGCACGCACGGTAAGTATAAAAAAGCTAAATTATAGACGGCTGTGGTATGTTATGTCGTTTTAAAAAGTCCGATTTTGCAACAAAAAATTTTGTCTGCTGTGCCGTTGACTGTACAAAACATGTAGTAGTTAGGAATGTTTTTGTAGTCAATAGCACACCAACAACCACAACAGGAAAATGTATATTTGTGTCATTGTAAGCAATCCATTTTAATAAATCGGGTAGATGTAATAATGATGACAGCTTGTTGTGAAATCCTGCAAGGTCATAAACAAGTATTGTAAGAAATTCTGGTTTAAAAAGTCTGATTAAACAGGGTCTACAACCCCACACGATAAGATGACCAAAATGTTGCAAGATCGAGAGGCAAAGTAAAGAACAAGTATTTATCTAAATCGTATTTCAATAATCTACTTTTCTGTTTCAGACCAACAGCGATGAGTTTGTTCTCTCCACCGGCCCCGAGTGAACCCGTAGATGTTCCATCCAAAATCGCTAATCATACCACAAGTAAGTATAGGTTTTTAGTAAACAAGTGGAAACCTTGTTGACATAAACGCGGCAACAAAAAAAAAAGATTGGAAAACGAAGTTGCGTTAGATGAGTTCGAGGACTAGCAAAATATTACCCCATTTAATTATGGAAAAGATTCAGTGTGAATACCTTACGATCACGTAATGAAGTAGGTACTAGGTAAGTCAAAAAGTAGTCCCGGAAAGTAGTCGTAAAACACACACTAGCTACCTACTGTTTAACATAAATAACGTGATTCATTCTATTATTTTGTAACACATCGCTAAGCTCATTTTATTTATCATTATGAATAAACAGTAATTATTTTCACTATCTATGTAACTACTGCCTACTTGTAATATAGTGACACATGTATGTTTATTACAATAAACTAACAGAAAATATAATGCTCAATAATTCTGACTCACTCATTTTGCTCCATGTGAGATAATTTTCTAATCACATTATCAAATAATAATAATAATATAAAAAAAATATTTTGGTGTTATTTCGAATGCGATAAATGTTAGGTAAACTGCCAGTCATTGGACACTTAAGAAAGTTATTGGACAGTTATTTACTGAATTAAAAATAGCATTTCTATTTCAACAACTGAGAGATTGACTGATGGAGATAAAAAAAAATTTCCATGCTTTTAAGCGATTTTGTGAAAAATATTATTGGCAGGTAGTTGCTAATTGCTCATAAGATAGGCCCCCTTAATTTAATTTATTGTCCGTGGTGCATAATCTTTTCCTTAAAGGTTTTAAACCTTTGTTTGTCACCTGTCATCCGCTTTGCAATGGAGGGAAGTCGAACCTTAATTTCGAACTCCTCCTATGTTCTTCTGATTAATTTCGTTGCGGGTCCAATGACAGTTTAACTTTCCCCCGGGACAAACTTGACCTTCATTGGTTGGGTTTTTGTGGCGGTCAAGCTGTAGATCCTGGCTACACAGGAGTTGCAGTGGTGGGAACGAGAGGTGGGAATAGTCCCGTTGATGGAGATAAAAGGTCGTTTTTTTTTAAGGAATATTCATTTTAAGAAAATTCAAGGGTTGTTTTGTCCAATGACTGGCAGCGTCCAATGACTGTGGGTTTACCTACTTAGTCACGTTCGACTGGAATTATTAAAAGAGATGTCAAGTGTCGTCGACTTAAAAACTAGTAAATTTTACTGCATTGTAGTCGATATGTACGAGTAAATATGTATGTTGCCACAATAAATTGGTAATTGATGACGTCAATATTTCATGTTTTATCAATAGGTACCTACTATAATGCCACAACGTTCTGCAATAGTGCCCAAATATTTGTCAAATAATTTTCCCGCTTTATACATTTAACTTCTCTTTAGGTACGTGAAGTTTATTTATTTATTTTATTTATTAGGACAACCAACAAGACAAACACGCATACATGAAATTACTATAACTAAAAGTGCTTAAAACTAAGTGCTGTCTTAATTAAAGGCTGCCACGGCATGCAATGTGGACAGTTGCAAATATAAGAACTAAGAGATAGTAGGTAACACAGTGAAAAATTGAAATGTAATGAACATTATGAATAAATTTCTTTTACATTATTTGCTGTGGCTGTAAGGGACCTCAGCACAGAGCGCCTGAATTTCAATGGCTTATGGTGAAAGATGTCGACGTCACATGCTTTGCACAGTCTGTTGTACTCCCTTTGCAGTCTGCTCATGGTGGCGTGGTAACCCAGATTGGTTTTACTAAATTTTGTTGCGAAGGGGACATACTTGCAGGAACGTGGGAGCTTAAGCGGTACGTTAAAATTAATTGAGCTCAAAAGTGAGGGACAATCGACGGCTCCGTTGATGAGTTTATACAATAGCATACAATCCAAGAGCGTCCTACGCTCCCGCAAGCTGTGCAGTTTGAAGTAGGCCAGTCGCTCTCCATATGAGGGCAGCTCCTTTGCCATTCTAGTCTGGTATGATAAATGCCACAAAAAACGTTTCTGAACGCGCTCTATACGCTTTATGTGAACATCGTAATGTGGTGACCAGATCTGACTGCAATATTCGAGACCAGAGCGGACCAAGGACCTGTACAAAAGCACTTTAGTGGAGGGTTTTTTGAATTCCTTCGTACTGCGCAAGACGAAGCCGAGCATCTGAAAAGCCTTGGTGACGATATGGTCGATGTGTTTATGGAAACGCAGTTTCCTATCCAAGATAACTCCCAAATCGCGAATAGATTCCACCTCCACCAAGTGGTGGCCATCAATATTATAAGTTGGCAGCTGAACTTCTTTCCTTCTTGAGAATCTGATAAAATGACACTTATTAAGGTTTAAGAATAATTGGTTTTTGGTGCACCACCGAGCCAGACCATCCAAGTCCTCCTGCAATAATAAAGTGTCATTCTGATCTCTGATTTGCATAGCTAGTTTCATGTCATCTGCATACAGAAAACACTTAGCGTGATTGAAGCTGGAAGTTATGTCATTTATGAACATGTTAAAGAGGACCGGGCCAAGATGGGAACCCTGAGGCACGCCGGATGTTGACAAGAATGGCCGCGAAGAATAGCCGTTCACCACCACCCTCGAATTCCTCTGTCTAAGATAAGAGGAGAACCATTCAAGAAGATTACCAGAAATACCGAATGTAGAGAGTTTGTGTACTAGGATATTATGATCCACGGTGTCAAAGGCCTTACTGATGTCTGTGTAAATGGTATCCACTGATAAGCGTGAGTCAAGAGAGACCGAGACATACTCGACAAATGAGGCAAGATTAGTGGTGGTAGAGCGAGAAGTCAAGAAGCCGGATTGTTGGGGTGAAATTATCTGTTTTATATGCCAAGCAAGCGCAGGGCACACCATGGACTCGAACACCTTGCCAAATACACAAAGAATCGATATTGGTCGATAGTTTTTAACTGAACCGACGTCACCTGACTTAAAGATGGGGACCACTCGTGCCTCCTTCCAGGCTGAAGGAAAAATACCTGTCCTCAAAGATGTATTGAAAATTAAAGTAAGAGGCAGAGATAACGCTTTGCGACAAATGAACACAAACAAAGGCGGTATACCATCGGGTCCAGCTCCCTTGCGCCGATCTATTTTGTCTAGAGATTTAAGTACTTCTTGCTGTGAAAATTGCAGGTTTACGAGGTAATTCGTCGTGATAATTTGGTCATTAGAAGTCACGGGTAAATGGGAGCAGGTCTTATATACTGAGGCAAAGAAAGAGGCAAACAAGTCGCATATACCCTCGCCACTGTCCGCCATGCTGTCATCGAGGGTCATGGATGACGGATAGGAGTTACTATTCCGTTTTTTATTTTTTAAAAATGTCCAAAATAATTTCGGGTTTTCGCTAAGAGAGTCTTCTAAATCGGTGAGATATTTTTTATGACACGTATCTATCAATTCAACGCATCTTCCCTTGAGCGAGCGCAGAGCAAGCTCGTCCAGAGGATTTTTGTATTTGCGGAACTTGACACGTAGCTTGTATTTTTCCTTTAAAAGTCGAATGAGCTCAGTTGTGTACCAAACTGGATACTTTTTTGAGATTGGAAGTTATGGATTGGAAGTTATTACAATTAAATTTTAATTGTGTACATGTAAACATGTTTCATAATCATTCTGATTACAGCAACTGTAAGATAGCTGGCAGTGTTTAGTTTGATGTGTTCTCGTCGTACACTAGACGACGTCAGGTCAAGCTGAACACCATGGTTGTTAGAACAGGTGCTATTTTGCAAAGAAAATGTGTAGTTTGATGTGTAGGATATCCACCAACCCATGGTTCTAACTTCCATACGGAGAATGAAACGGATCCTGGCAGAATGCATAGGTACTGCAATCGATCAATTTTATGATCTTTTTTGTTTCCCTGTCATCCACAAAAATTATATCCAGTAGATGATCAAGTTCATATGTGAGGGTTAGGTTTCGCATTACGCTATACTTCGGTATCTACAAATTTTCCATAGTGAATCGTTTTTCTTCGGCAGCAGACCACCGGCTGTCGTCGTCGGCGCCGAGCGCGTGGTCGCGGGCGCCCGTGGGCGACACCAGCCCGGCCGTGCAGTCGCTCAACACTCACAACTCCTTCGCCTCCATCACCGACGCGCGCCCGCGACTCGACAGCGACGTCGGCGCCTCGCTCAGCGCCGCCGGCAGCCAGACCTTATGTAAGTGTTTGTGATAGACGACGCAGATCTATTACCATCGTCTTCGACTCCAGCCCGGCCGTGCAGTCGCTCAACACTCACAACTCCATCACCGACGCGCCCGCGACTCGACAGCGACGTCGGCGCCTCGCTCAGCGCCGCCGGCAGCCAGACCTTATGTAAGTGTTTGTGATAGACGACGCAGATCTATTACCATCGTCTTCGACTCCAGCCCGGCCGTGCAGTCGCTCAACAGAACTCCTTCGCCTCCGTCACCACCATTGTGTGTCGCGTATCAAGGGTACTTTTTCTTTTCCTGACATGTGACGGGAGATCTATATCTCTCTGGGAATCGAACCCAAGACGATCTTATACCATTGTAGTGTATAATAACAATAACAAACCCATACGGTTAAGATGGCATAAACATTTACCCCAGAATATGGTTTAAAACGAATATTTTTTTCGGTTTCAGTGGACGAGGTGGACGGCGCGGGCGAGACGGACGCGGACGACTTCGAACGCCTGCGCAGCATCCGCGACGCGCGCCGCCGCGACAAGTACCTGCAGAAACTTATGGCGCGATCCATCAGCGCGCAACAGGTAATGGAACTATACAAGGATTCCATGGTGCTGCCGCGCTGTGAACTAGATGTTTTTTTTTTTTGAGAATTTTAGTATTTGGATCAATTGCAGGTTTGATCTAAAAGACAGCACGTTAAACTAAACGCTGTGACATCTTGTATCATTGTAATATGGGCAATATTGCAACAAAAATGTATCGTCTGATGTGCTGTTGTCTGTACAATGATAATGAGTGGTCCACTTAGGGTTGACCAGAGTAGCGGGAGATTTTTTTTATCTGGATATTATTTCTGGTTGGGAGAAACCAGAGAAGTAAAAATCTGCTACTGAATATTGAAGATTAAAATTACGAATAATGCTTTTAATTTGGTATCTTATATTATCCGTTTGTTTCAGACAACTGGCAGCAATGAGCTGATCGACAATGATTTATTATTGGAAGAATTATTGACACAATCTGCTATAAATCAAAAGAATGAGAAGAATGCCAGAAATGACTCCAAAGATCAAGATGCTACTTGACACAGTAGTTTCATTTTCCAGTGGGATTAATAGACATTAGCGCAATTCAGTATTAAAAATAATTGTGATACTTAATTTTATTTAAGTAATTTCAGACCAAGGAAATGTGCATTGATTGATATAAAATATTAATTTATGTATTATGTTCATGTAAATAAAAGAAATACATACATTTATAAGCTTATTTAAATCAGATTTTTATTTTGCCTTTACTTTAGTGTGTGTATGTGTAGACGCACATACAGTCCTCTCAACTTAAGCTGAGAATTGCATTTGTGTGAGTGCACACCGATAGTGTAGAGTGGCAATCGGCTTGAAGCGCGGCGCGTCCCGCGCATGATTTAAACCGGTTTATTTATAGCAAGCGGCCTGAAGCGCGGCGCGTCCGCCACGCACCGCTTCCTTGCCGCTCACATACTTCACTTCACCCCCGGTACTGGTAGCAGAAACGTGTAATTTTATGTAATTGTGTTCCAAATATTAGTGAAATGGCTCCTACTGTAAGTGAATTTCCTGTACGAAATCCATTAAGCAGCCAAGTGAAAGAAATTTTATGCAAATTGAATACGTATTTTAAAGGTGTGAACGAAAAGTTTTTAGTCTGTTTTTATTTTGTAATTTTATAAAGTTTGTCTTTTTGTGGTATTCTGTAAGGTAGCGCATTTTCTTACATAACTTTTCAATTCCTATCATTGGAGGTCCGAAAATATTTCTCATACAATTTGATACCATAATGATCATTCTTCATAAAAAATTTAAAACCTACATATTTAAAAACATAATCATTGATATTCATAATATCACTAATCATACACTTAGTTTTTACTAATATTTGTTTTCATATATTTTTCTATACTAATGATCGAAACTCATAATCATTCGNTTTGGATTTAGGAACGTGCCTAGCAATTGTTTCTTTTAATATTCTATTAAATGAGTCGACCATGACATCGACTGAAGATGAAGATAGTTCATGTTCCCAAGGTATTGTGTTCAAATGCCTAACTATTTTGTCATAGTCCGCCTTGTAGAAGTTGAATCTTCTGTTTGCGGCGTTCGGCGGTAGACTACAGGGGTCGCAGCAAGAGACGGTCACCTTCAGGGCAGGATGATGGGAATCGAGATTACTTAATGTGAAGTCACTACGAACAACACCTTTGACCGCTATGTTGGAAAGAACAAGGTCCAGAATCCTACCTCTATCATTTAAGATGCTATTAAACTGTGTAAGACTGTTCAGGGCGATGAAATCGAGCAAAGTATTATCTAATGGAATCCCTGCGGTGTAATTAGGTGTAGGCGTATAGTTTTCGTTGTTCCAACAAATGTTACCCAAATTAAAGTCGCCTAAGATCAAGGTCCGTGCATTCGATTCAAAAACGCGGTTAGTGTTATTGATGTAACAATCTAAAATATTTTTTTGTATAGGTGACGGAAGATAAACACCACATAATAACAACTTATCAGTAGAGCCACTTGTACTGCGCATTTCCAACTCGACCCACAAGTCCTCGCAGTCGCTTTCCAAATGGGGCAACCTTCTAGAACCAATACGTTTAGACACCGCAATGAGCACCCCGCCACCAGATTTGACAGTGTGAAAGCCGCTAGTCTCGCGGTCACGCCTATACACCAAGTACCGGTCATCGAATAGCTCCCCGTCATAAATCAAGCTGTTAAGCCATGTCTCACACAAGCATATGACGTCATAGTCAGTACACAATACATTTTTGTAAAATTCCGTGGTCTTCGTGCGAAGGCCACGGACGTTCTGATTGTAAATACTTAAATGGGGATGTTGCCTGGGTCAAAAAGCAAGAGTTTTNAGGCGATATACCGATGCAAAGGCCATGATAGAAGGCCGAACATGTGTGACATTCCATATAATCATGATCTTCAATAACCGATTTGCAAGCGGCGCATTGATGCGCAGATCGGTGTTGTTTATTCATTACGTTATCTACGTACGCACGACTCCGCACGAGTGACTCAGGCGAGGGGCGGTCCCGATGAGAGCAGGCGCAGCGGAGTGAGAGAGGGACGGCAATTATGTCGACTGTCTCTTATCGTGGCGGGGGTGCAGGAGGGCGTCCCGCGCGACGTGGCGAGCGAGACGTTGCGGCCGGTCCGATTTACTTTCACTTTGTTGCACTCACGGAATACTAGTTGATATTACTGTGCCGCACGCTCGCCATAAGCAACAAACTCGCGCGCACAATCACTGACAATTTGCAGACGAGCCCGATAACACGTCCACTTTGTAAGACTACTTGGACGAGAAGGGAATCTGTTCCTATATTGTTCCTGTGCAATTTTTATCATCTTTTTTACTCGACTTCTGCACTTTGCATACTCATCGTAATACCCTTTTGAACCCCTAATTTTATATTGCCTATGTAAATTTGCCTTTAATTTTATTTCTTTAATTAATTCAGTCGAGTACCACTCGGGGTAATTATACCTATTGTTTATCTTACCTGAACTTACCTTTTTTCGCGGAACATGTTCGTTCATGATACCATTTATAATTTCATAAAAGAAAGATACACTCTTTTCTAAATCTAAATTCCATAAAGGCGTCCAATCTATTGCCGCTATCGATTTGTATAGTTGTTCGAAATTAGCTTTAGTGAAATTCCATTGTACGGACGCAACTCGAGTGTTCACACCGGCTTGCGAGTCACAGTTGACCGGTCGTCCTTGCGGCGGGGGAGGGGGCGGGGGCGCCCGTTCGCCAGCGCAGCGCCCGCGCCGCACGGTGACCGCCAGCGCGGGATGGTACGGATCCGGGCATACGAGCGGGCTCGCCGCGCTCACGGACGCACCGTCATTGCTCCACGTACTCAATACCAGATCTAAACAACGGCCACTACAATTAGCTATGTTGTTGCTTTGAGTGAATCCGCAATAGCTTATCAAATACTCATAATAATTCGCGACATTTTGTGAGCAAGAATGTAAATATAATGTAGTATTATAATGTAGATATACCTATTCTATTAAAAAAAANGCTCCTCAAGCTACCAGCGCGAGTCCCTTCAAAAAAAAAAAAAAAAAAGTCGTGGCATTCTGGCCTTACCCGCCGCTCGGTATTGTTGTCTCGGTCCTGTGTGTGAGACTGCTCGAATATTATTATTGTAATTATTGTATTCTTACCGAAATACAACAATCTATAGTGTAAAAACTATACATCGTTTTATTTAACTTCCTGGTGAAACATAATGTCTTGCCCCTTCTGACCGTTCTCCGACATCAGAATTGGGATAAAGAAGGCCAGCCCACTTCAATTTTTTTTTTCTCCTTTCTGCCGTACAGGCAAAACTCAAGGAAAATTATGGCTTTCAGAGTTGTGGCACTTGCATATCTACTATTCATGATGCTTTCTTTATATTTAACTAAAATGCACTTGTAATTTTTGGCTTTTATCTTTTATTTTCGTTATAGTAGGTTTATAAGACAAGGTAGTTTTCAGTTGATGAATATTCATGTTTTACCATAATTATGGTTAAAGGTAGTAGTTTGTAAATTAGTATTACATCCAATCATAAGTGATAATTTAATCTTAACTCAAAACAATTTTTAGTTTGGCTCAGTGGTACAAATCCCATCCCATCCCAACTAATATTATAAATGCGAAAGTAACTCTGTCTGTCTGTCTGTCTGTCTGTCTGTTACGCTTTCCCGCTTAAACCTCGCAACCGATTTTGATGAAATTTGGCATAGAGATAGTTTGAGTCCCGGGAAAGAACATAGGATAGTTTTTATCCCGGTTTTTGAAACAGGGACGCGCGCGATAAAGTTTTTCTGTGACAGACAAAATTCCACGCGGGCGAAGCCGCGGGCGGAAAGCTAGTAGTATAAAAAAGTGCGCCATTATGAACATGCAATAAATTACGTCACGTGCATTGAGTGAAAAATGTTATTGTAAACTATTTGAACCTATCACGGTTCACCACTGATCAGAATATTATCGTGACGGATGTAAATAGACTGAAACTATTAGAATTGCTTAAATAGACTTCCTGAATTAATTATCGGTTTACCTTGTAGTAGGTACTCGTGTAATAGAATACGGGCGGTAGGCTTAAAATAAGATTTTATCTCGGGAAAGTAGCAGCCTTGCCACTTTACACTTGCTTACCTATTCATGATCAATCGAGAAGATTGCCATAGGGTTTTGTACCAGTCTAAAGTTGAAGTCGTGGTACATGATGTTCACAGTAGCGGTGATGATGATTTTTCTGTAATGGGAACTCGAATTTGCTCTTGAGCCGTAAATCGTAGTGTGTAGTCGATGGGTGATGCACACAGTGTTGTGATATCTAGTACTTAATGGTACAGTTTCAGTAATGGTGATTAGTGTGGGAAATGGAGATACTCGAGTGTCCTACGAATTTATTAGTGACTAACATTATTGAAGTGTTACATAGCCCTGGGTCCTTCTATATTCTTAAATGTTAAGTGTCGATTTTAGAAAATACTACATTATTTAATATCCCATCTCGTTAACTACAAGCAGTTTTCTCAATTGTTAGGTCGGATCCGGAATATCGTAGCCGTATCCTATTAGAAACCGGTATCTGTTCTGAGTAGTCCCTGGGAATTAGGTAGTGCGATAGTTCTGGGTGGTGCAGTAGGATCTGGCCGTGTGTAGCTAGGAGTATGAAGTCATTGGTTGACTTAGGCTCCCGAGGTAGGGTATCAAAATGTGGACCGCAATTGTGATACCTGGGACTCATTCGATTTTTAAAGTAATTTTTGGTAATGATGATGTACCACATGGCCTTAGTGACTTCAATGTAGCAATTATTATGAATTGTGAATAGTAATGATTGGATTTCTAAAAGCTAGGTAGTTTCTAATAGATAGCTATGGTTACTAGTTAGTATCACTAGACATCTACTTGGATGGCTTTTATTTTAAAGAGTGGATAGAGTATAGGAAACTAATTGTAGAAAGAGTATCTAGTAGTACTGAAAGTTAAGTTTCCTCATTTCTGAAAGCACATAAGTTGCTTGAAATAGAGGACCGTGTCATTTGTTTTTTTCTTTTTTTTCAACAGAAGTTTTAGCTTACAATAACTTC